AAGAAAAGTATTAAAAGAGTATCCAAAATCTAAAACATTGTATCTGTGAATTGTCTGGGTTTGATTCCTAGAAAGGGTTACTGGGTATGCAGGTGTTTATTGTTTGATTCTTTGTTGACTTCATATAACTTACATCTCACAATGGTTTTTAATTATTACGGACTTAGATAATTGCAAAGTGAATTTTGCAAATAACAGATGACTTGTCTAACCCGCGCTTATCTTTAATATTGTAATTACTATAATTAGCTATTGATAAAATTTACAGTTCACTTCATTTAACAATAAGAAAAAGTTATAAATAGATTTTACTTGTATAATCTTTTAGTAATTACAATTACTAATTAGTTAAATAACACTGTGAAAACAGGTTCTTTCTTAACAAAAGACTAATCAGGTTTGCTCATACAAAACCTAATTATTGTCAAAAATGTTGTTCATTTAATTTATCATCATCCGAGACCCCCATTACCAAACAAACATAAACTCTTCACACCCAAACTTAAACTCCTTGCACCCAAACTTCAACACCTGACACCCAAACTTCAACTTCAGCCACCCAAACTTAAACTCGTTACTTAATTCTCCTATAATTAATTTCAGTTCCACGCAGCGAACAATCCGGATAGCACCACCATAGATCTCCATTACTTGCGCGTGAAAGAAGCCCGAGAGTCTCTCGACATATTCATCGACACCCACATCACCAAGCTCAGAGATTCAGGAGTACGTCGCAACCAGGTGTTGTTCTTCATTACTGGCCGTGGAATTCATAGCCAGGGACGTGCTCGAATAAAACCAGCCATGGTTGAACGCTTGAAGCAACGTGGCCTTGGGTGAGTGGAGATAATCTTAAACTGGTTTTTAGATATTCGTAAATTTGCCTCTATTTTTTTTTATTGATCATGTATCTAAACGTGATTGACTTCTAACGCCATCTAGTATCATTTTGTGGGAAACTTTCATGTTTGTATAATAGTCGTTGTGAACTGTTTGGAAGTCGATCGCTTTATTTTGTATACGCGCCAAACACGCAATCATAATCAGCCTTAGCAAAGCGTTAGAACCATGCGAATCAATCGCAGATTTTTTTGTTATGCTCCCAAGACTAAACACTTATGTACTTTATCACAGCACTTAGCTTTCTCGCTTGCTAAACGATGCTTTTTTCATTTTCCAGATTTACATTTAAGAATCCCGGCCTGGTTGCTGCTAAAGTGAGCGTAAACAACAAGTTAACATACCAAGTGTCTGTTCCCTAGGGAACGTGCAGCCAAGACAGTGACACCTTCTTCTATAGGAGACCGTGTCATGTCTTGCTTGTATTCGATGGCGCTTTTACATTTTACAATGGCAGAGAATACCCAGTTTTCTTCCCAGTTCTTGCTACCTACGGACCCGTCGTCTATTGCTTACGCGCCTGCACAGATTTCAGGTTTGCCAAAGAACTTACCATTTGGCCAAAGTCGGATGATTTAGAGTTACTCACTAAATTGTCCCAAATAAGCATCATTTGTGATCCACCGTTTTATTATGTTAATTTTAATGCGTTCAGCGTCTATCGTTACCAACCATATATGTATTTTCCGATATTGCCTCCGCCACCCGCCGTCATTACTGAGATATCGAGGGCTTGGCCTGGTCTCGTCTAGTTCGTATGGTGTAGGGATCTTCGGCGACCAAAACATCGCCAAATATTTTACCAGTAATGTTTTCTAGTTCATGGTTCGTTGTCTATTATAAATCGAAAACAAACCAGTGTTTTAGGTAGTAGTTTTAATACTTGTAATCTCAATGCCACGGGATTAGGGTTTATATCGTAATATGCAAAATGTTTCAAAGGAATTTCAATTATATACGCATCACAGTAAAAACCCACGAATCATATTATATAGAATAAGTTTTAAATGTTTGCTCAAAAGGAAAGTTTTAGTTTATATCTTTTAAGTATTACCAAAATAATAATTTTAGTAGAAACGATAACGTAAATAATTGAGTTTCTACCGTTTTTATGTACAATTTGACCAATTTTGAATACTAATCAAACGGACGAAGTAGCTTTTGCACAATATAGTTACATTGTCGATTGATAACGTTATACAATAGGCTTTTAGGCAAACCATGTCACTGTAATCACATTAAGACTCGATAGTATTTCGCTTTAACATTTGATAAAACAATTATTTTTATCGCACTTTTATATCAGCTTACTAGCCTTCACAGGTCCTGTATTATATTGCTTGGTATTTTTGCCATACGATGTCATGAAGTTTGTCTTCTAAAACGATCTAAAAGTACAATTGTAAATTAAATTTGTTTAAAAATACTGCTTGATAATATAGTACCTGTGTTGGCAAGCATTAAACCACATTATTTGATAATATTAGTTACTATAAGTTCATTGTCTGTGATCGTTACAGGGTGTAAAAAACTGTTTTCTTTAAACCCGCTAATAATAATTAATATAATCGAAGTGTTTGACATATTGGTTTGTTTATCTCCTATTATTGGACCGTCCAAACACCCCTGTTTACCTTTTGGTATTCCCTCCCAAAGACAAGAACAAGTAACTATTTAATGAATAAATAAAATTATATTTTGATCTTATATTTCGCTTGAAATATTTGTCTATCTCTACTTCAGTACATAAAGATATTTTAATCAACATTCAACTTTATTTACACACCCCTAGTACCTAATATTAGTTGCCTATATGATATTATTTTTCTTATCTTGTGGACCACCCCAAACTTCATACCTCATTAAGTATTTTTTCGTACAAATGTTTTTAAGACAGTACATATTCATAAATCATAAGACAGTCAACCACACCTAAAGCGGTATACAGACGAGTTTAGTAATCGAATTTGTTATAATTATATCTTACATTATTATCTGAACATTGTAACTTGAAGCCGACATTATATACATGACTTTATATCGAATTGAATAGTTTTTTAACTTTAATATACAAGAAATTGGGAAAATTTTGCAAATTGAACTTTAATGTTGTAAGCTCAAAGATGGTATTTGTATCTTCTAAAACATTTTGAACATTGACGATTGTGCCAAAAACGCACTTGTAAAGGAATTCGTGTGCTGGTATAACAATCCTAAACAGGGATTTGGAACATGTTAAAGATTTATAATGATGCCTTTTTATAAAAATTACCAAGGCTGAAAGTCTATTTTGGGTAAATTATTGAAAATTTGTGGCTTTTTGGCCGAATAAAGTATAAAATTCGTACATCTTATTTTATTATAATGGGCTAAAGTTTTTGAAGGTTTACTGAAAGTTAAAAATCGTCGGAGTATCATTAGATATTTTTGGCTGTTGACTATGCCACTCTTTGAAACGAACAAACATAATTATTATGTAGTGTGTGCATTGCATATTTTGATGTCTATGCTTATTACAATAAGATTCATATCGTAGGGCATTTAGCCATTTTTGGAATTTTATCTTAGACAGTCCTTTTACGGACTTTAGGTGTAGAATTTAGGATTTAGAAATAAGTGATTACAAAGTTTAGCTATGTAGGAATAAGCGATTTCAAAGATTATCTTATAGGATTAGGGATCGCTCAGGCTTATTCGTGTCCATGCAGTTCAGAGATAGAATTTCCAGAAGTTTCTATTAACATCGATAGCATCGCAGGTGGTGTTCATGCGAATAAGTCGGGATTATCCAGTGACACAAAAGTAGATATGTAGTTTGACACTAAGGTAGATGAAGCATTTGAACAGTCTTAGGAAGATAGTATTTTTAACAAGTTAACTGTCCAAGCAGTCACCAACAAATAGCGATGAACTTTTGGAATATAATAATGTGTCACATGTGACTAATTTTTGGTACAATTTTAGGATGTATTGCTGATATGAGCGTGGCACCAAATTCTAATAAGAACTACTTGAATATGTAGCCAAAAACCTGAACTTTAAAAAAGTAATGGATGTAGGTAATTGTAAATTTCATTATATGGGGACAGTTAAGTTGTTAAAACTTTGTGTACTCCGTTGTGGACTGTCCAGTGCATCGTCTGTCCCAGTAGTATTTTTGGATTCCCACCTCTTGTCGTATGTGACACTTTAGATGTTTTTACTCGTCTTTACAATATACGTAGGTGCCTCTAGGGCACCTTTAGTACATTAGATTTAGGTACATAATTATATGCATTGTGTTCAGCACGGAATGGTTTTGTATGAACAGACAATTGTTTGAATGGGTCGACTAGAGACCTATTGGTCTTTGATAGGGATCCTATTCTCCACTGGAGTGAGTTTAAGTCTCACTACGTAGCGACATACGTAATAAGGCGAGAACTAAAATTCTTTATAGATATTGCAGTTTTATTCTTGTGCTGGACGCAGTGCTTAAGCACTTAGGTTAGCAATGATGCGTGTTAGATGTTAGGTCTTAGAATTAAATTTTTATTTGACTATAATTTAACTATAAGTTCATAAGATTTCTTTTAACTTGCTGGTTTTAATTCGTTCTTTCATTTGCAGCTAGTGAACGAAGAAGTGAGTTTCGGTACTAAATATGCCAAAGACAGAATTTTTTTTTGATAGTAATATAGTATGATGGACACGGTTAAAGCCTAGTCAAGTTGAAATTTAAGTATAGAGTCTTCTACGGGAAATATTTGTGATAAGAGTCATTGAGTTTGGTGCTTCGGAGTCGCGTGATAGTTATACATGTTTAGGAATGTTTTAAACAGGTTTAAATGCAAGTGCAATGTGAATTGACAAATTTAACGACATTTTAAATGTCATATTTTATTGTTGGTTTTCGCTTTTGTGCTTATAAACGCACTCGCTAGAGTATATTGCTGTTGATCTATATCAATTCTCAATACTTTTATACGTTTCTATTCAGAAATGTATTGTAACAATTTCGAAATAAAATGAAACGAAATTCCAGTCAATTAAGAATGCAATTAATAAATCGTACTATACATAAACCCTATTTTAATAAACAACTTATTAGAACGAATACGCACAATGAAATTTAGAAATAAGAATAGCAATATACTCTGATCTGTAATTTTGCTAAACGCTAAAGCTAACTTTAAACATCTTAAAATAAGATTTAAAATCGACTTGATAATTTTGCATTGATGCTTGAAAACGCCTAAGGATAGGGTGCTAAATATATAGCTTTTTATTTGCTTGATTTTGAATCAAAATTTAAATATAAGCTGGGTACACACGTTATTGGCGTGGTATCTATTCGTTGGTAGTAATTTTATAAGGACATGTTTCCTTATGTGGAAGACAATAAGGTCCTTTTTACGATGGTTTTGTACCGAAGATTGTAGATTTTCTATGTGAGATGATACTAACACAAATATCGTATTGATTGCGCATTACATTTGAAGATATTTTCTATACTAGTTTGCAACGGTAGATCTCATGAGGATTCAGTAGAATTTAATTATCAATAATTTGGTTACGGTTTTCTTATAAATCTATGAAAATTTTGTTATTTTAATGTACGAAATTAAAACTTTCGTTATTTTTGTTATAGATTTTAATAATTTTTGATGCCATTTTTGAACAATATCTTATTATAATCTGTGTTAGATTTTAAGTCACTTTTATGTGTATTTTTGTGTGAAATGTCTGTCAATTAAAAGACAAATAAATGTATGTGTCTACATTCTTGTTTTATTTTGCTTTCCAGTTGGTTAGACAAAAGCGCTGCTCGATTTTTCATCAAACGTTTTGGGTAAACTAGACTTACCTACATATCATTATGTATCTTTTTATTGATAAATCAGCCATCTGAATCTTTTTATTTATAAATCAGCCATTTGAATATTTTTATTTATAAATCAGCCATCTGAATCTTTTTCAAAAATGTGACAATAATGCTGTGTAGCTAAATTAAAAAGCTTTTCATTGTATGCCAGCTTCGCCCTAGACTAGACGTCACTCTGCATCGCATATCGCATAGCATCAGATGTAGGTATTCATTTATTAATTATTTTTTAGTATCAAAATTGGGTAAAATTATACGAAAACGTTATATTGATATTAATTTGAAATTCTTTTGTTAGTTGAAATATAAATTTTCTTCTTTTTAGAGAAATTTAAATTTTATTCTTCAGTTAGACACTGCCAGTATAGTCGACAACAACATTTTGGAGACTCGGTTGCTAAAGAAGAAAAAAATTTCTTCAGTTAATTTATGAGAAACTAGCCTATACTTATTATACTTTTTGAACTAGCTATTGCTCGGGACTTCGTACGCAGAATGTGATTCCTGTTTTAGCCCATGGGAGCATTTAATCCCGATAAAAAGTACCCTATCACCTAAGCAGCCCATACCTGTATACCAAATTTCATCGAAATCCGTTCAGTTTCAGCGTGATTGACGGACAAATAACCAAACAAAGAATTTCTTGACTTTCACATTGATAATATGAATGCGATATAAGTGTGATGCTATACTGACCGATGTCGTTGTCCAACGCGCCTTGAACAAGAGAAAATATTAAAAAATCCCCTGAGTTGCTGATGATGAGGGAGGCCGGGAATGGAAGGTAATGAGTTCTGAATAAGGCTGAGATTCGGACCGAATTAACGAAACAACAGTCTTGGTCGCCTCCCTTCCCCCATAGAACTAGGCTTTATGTACTTACTTACCTATTATAGATACCACACGCCTATTAGTACTTCTTGGGTATTTTTTTTACGGGGGAAAATCATCGAATGACTGCTCCCGCCTGGGTGAGGCGGGAGGGTGTGTCAGACTCTTGCTGACTAAAAACCACCCCGTTCCTTTTCCTGCGCTTCGAGCCGGAGCCCCGGTGACCTGTTAGGTTCTCCGCGACTCCGAATCGGCATCAGCCCTGTTGGGCCCCATACGTGGTAGTCTGGTGGCTCTTTGAGGCGCGCGCGGAACACGACGCGCCGTACGCTCGGGACTTCTTGGGTATGTCGTATGGGGACGTCACTAGAACTAGTATCACTTAGTAAAAAGATGTTGGTCAAAATAAAAGTTACATAATAAATAATATAAAATTTTTATTTTATAACTAGACCTATATATGATCGGTGTCCTAACCGGGCTGATATGTTCCTGAACAAAAGGTCCCCCTAAAACAATAGAAAATAAGAAAATAAAGTATTTTCTGGGTGTCTTCAAGGCCAGAATGAAGAGGTCTTTATGGGCAGACGTGCTCCATCGTAGACAGCATCATCGGTTACCATTAGGCGGGATAGAGGCCAAACGTCGGCCCATCACTACATAGTATAAAACAAAGTCGCTAGCCACCGTCTGTTTGTCCCTATGTATGCTTAGATCTTTAAAACTACGCAACGGATTTTGATGTGAATTTTTTAATAGATAAAGTGATTGTTAAGGAAGGTTTATAATTATGTATAATAAATGCATATTACACCCGTGCGAAGCCGGAACGGGTCGCTAGTCACATAAACCTATGTAAAAAAAATTCAGTGATGTGAGGTCAAGTCCGGCGAGTAATCTATTAGCCTCTTTCGTGACAGCACTTATTAAGGCTCTAATTCAAAATGTCCATGGCCCACTAGATTGTTTTAGAAAAAGACTAGCTCTAATAACATCTAGTCCATCAATGTAAGAACTATTGTAGCACATTTAGATAAGGTCTACATTAGAGCATAGCAAATTGCATGTAGCCAAAAAAACAAGCTTCGAGACTATTGTGTAAGAACGAGACATTAGCTCTATAATCTACCATTACTTACTTAGCCTAGGCATTGATTTTGTTTTACTTTACTATGTATTTTAATTTGCTACGAAATGTGTTATAATAATTTGGGTCTTAATGGATTAAAATTTTGTTAAATAGCTATGAACCTTTGTGCTAAATAAAGTACCTATTCATTATGACACTTAATCGCATGCACACAAATGACTACCTCAACTGCCTAGTTGGCCAAGTGGTCGGGTTCGATTCCCGGGGCGGGCAAAGTATAACTGGGTTTTTTAAAGAATCTCAATAGAAGCACGGAGTCTGGAATTGTACCCGGTATATGGCAATAGGCTCACCCCTATTACATGGGACTCATAACATAAATAGTGAAATTAGGCTGTTACATTGTAAACAGTGGCATTAAGTGCCATAATGTGCACCTCTGCCTCCTCCTTCGGGGATAAAAGGTGTGATGTTATGTGTTACAAAAACAAATTACGGGTAGGTCCGAATAAGTTCGAGTTCGAACTGGGCTCCATAAAGATCCAATATAGACTAAACTTACTACCAGTTACCAGTTTTCATTACAAGGAAACCCTTTTAACAATATGTAAGATGTGCATATAATAGTAATAATACCTATCTACCTCGGTACTTAATTTAATTACCTAAGTAATCATCAGGTCACTAAAGAAAGTTCACTTGTTGATATTTTATATAACAATGGTTAGGTATTACCGGTCGCGAAATATCTTGTTGGTAAGTCGAGTCGTGACTTTACTTATGGCTTGCTCCTTAAACGCATTGTGGTCATTGACCTGACGGGAGCAAGCTGGAGGCCGTTTAAATTAGACATGGAACTTTTTTCACAAAATTTGCTGAATGTATGCGGCGGTTTTAACTAGGTTTTTCTAGTTTAGACTAGATATTTTTAAACGAAACTAGATGCTAGGAAGTAACTAGGCTTAGTAGAGCGTTAACTCTATGTCGAAGTGCTGGAGTAGGAACGGGGTGATTTTAAGTCAGTAAGAGTCTGACACTCCTTCTCGCCTCGCCAGGCGGGAGAAGTCATTGGATTGGATGATTTATATCCTCAAAAAAGAAAAATATATATATGATGGCAAATCAACCTATTTTTTACTTACAAACTGATTTTTTTTTTTAAATATTGCCCCACACTAGGATTTTTTTCCTGAATATGAAGTAGGTAGGCCTACCTAAATATTCTTACGTATAACCGATGTACGAATGAAAATTATGTAGTACCTACACCAGTAGACTCTAATGCCTTGTATTATTAGTAACTCTCTCTCGCTTCGATTTTGAGACAGAAGCGAAAGGGATATACCTACTGAACACTCGCTGCTCGACTAAATACTAGCATAGTGTGAACAAGGCATTAGTCTAAGTAATAACACTATTGTATCATCATCAAAATCAACGAATATACCTACCTACTTAGGTAAATACTTAGGCAAAATATAAAACCTAAGTAGATACTTCAACTTCCATAAATAAAAGGTGTGACGTTACGTAGGTACTTAAGAACAATATCTACACTTACCTATAAGTATAATAAATAATAAAAATAAAAATATTTTTTATTGACAAAAAGCTTCACATTACATATTTATATGGCTCTGGACCCCACACTAGGATTCCCTGTGTCGTGAGGCCCAGTCTCTTTCAGTCAGCAAAACATAATACGTAGGTCACTACAAAAGTTTTGTCGTACTCCGTGAAATATAATTTTTTTTCGAAGTATTCTCCATTGGCACTTAGGCAGGTCTTCATACGTGCAAACCACGTATCAAAGATGGCGCTCCAGAATCCTTCCTGCACACTGCTGCATATCTCCTCAAAAGCACCTAAAAGTTGGTCATCATTAGTAAACTTGCGGCCTTTTAGTTGCTTTTTACATACGGGAACAGGCCAAAATCACACGGTGCTAAGTCTGGGCTATAAGGAGGGTGTCCCAGTAATTAGATCCCAGTTTGACTCAGATAGTCCACAGTTTTGCCGGCTCGATGCGCGGGAGAGTTATCATGATGCAAGAACCAAGTGTCGAGTCTTGAGTTTGGACGTTCATTTTTCAAAGATTCTAAAACTTGAGGTAAACATTTTTCAGTGTACCAGGCAGCTGTCACAGTCTTCTGTTTATCAAGCACAATTATTGATAAAATACCTCTTCTGGAGAAAAATACGGCTACCATTCTTTTTTTGACTGACCGGGACATTTTAACGGACGTCGGAGGATCTTCGTCTTCGAACACCCACACTTTACTCTAGGATTTAGTTGGAACGTCGAAATAATACAGCCAGGTTTCGTCACCAGTGCTACTTGAATTCACATAGTTAGATTTGCCGTCATTGAATTTTTTTAACATTTCTTTACACCATTTGACGCGCTGTTTCCTAATCGCATCAGTTAGCAAATGTGGTACCCAAAGTGAACAAAGCTTTCGTACTCATAAGTTTTCATGAAGAATTCGATGAATAGTTGGTGCACTTAAATTGAGTGTTTCCTCGATCTGACGGTATGTTACATGGCGATCTCCTTCAATCAGTTTTCGCACAGCCACAATATTCTTATCAGTGGTTGCGTCAATCGGCCTGCCCGGTCTTGAATCGTCTTCTAAATTAAAATTGCCACGATTGAATTGTAAAAACCATCTTTCTATTGTCCTAAGGGATGGACAATTATCACCCAACACACCACTCATTTCTTCGAAGCATTGTTGTTTTGATAATCCACGCTTAAAGTTATACAAAATTATCACCCGAACGTCACGAAGATTTAAATCTGACATATTCAATTGCTTAAAAATTCACTAAAAAAATACTAAGCTAGTTACTCCAACGAAACTTATGCAAATTATGTTGACATTAGTTGATGTATTAGAATCTACCCTCAGTTGAATTATAACTATTAACTATTTGTCATACGACAAAACTTTTGTAGTGACCTACGTACAAATGAGAGACAAAATAAAAAGAGAATTAAAAAAAAAAAGAAATTAAATGAAAACAATAAATTTACAGTATTCTTTATATAATACTAATTATGGAAGTGTATGAATGTATGTGTGATTTTTAGGTTTGTGTATGTATGCGTGTGTGTGTGTGTGTGTGTGTGTGTATGCGCGCGTGTTTGTAGTTGAGTCGGATGAGATGTAATACCAGTGATAACTGTTCTACTGTGGGATATTGAGTATAGCCTCAGTACTAGAATAGCTAAGATTCAATAACCAAGTTGTGATTTTTTTCTTGCAGGTTTTCCGTAGTAGTGTAGCGATTTTTAGTTTAGATTGTATTTTTCTATATATGAAAGGTCCCATGAAGAGAAAGGACCTTCTACCAAACGATTTGTTGCATTTAACTGTTTGCCACTTAAGCAGTCGTTGAGGTATGTCTATATATAGGTCTACTTACAATTACAACGTCAGCTCAAACAAAACTGATACCATCTAAGTGCCTACTCGAAAGACCTATTCATTACAAGTATCGACATCTACTACGTCACACGTCCGGCACTTGGTACACCGCACCGGCCTTCATGATTAATTTTAATAATAAGTAACACCGAAAGGGTATCGGTAGTAGGAACTCAAACTGATCCGGTTTACCTCGTCGCGACATCTTTCACTGCTACAAATATCAACACCGTCGATTATGTTGCGACGAACTGCGGACATTAATGTCCTTGGTGTGATGGCTTTGTACCTATGTGCAGATGCCATGTCACTTTAGTCATTCTTTAATAGAATTTCAACTCTATAATAGAACAGTGAGGTTGAAAATCTATTGAAGGAAATTGGCAGTTAGGGGTGGCTTGATCTGTTGGTGTACATTTGTCGTATAGCCTTTTTTTGTGTTGATGATGATTTGTGTGGTTTTGTCCGTACTCTTACCATGTTCTACATTTGTATGAAGTTAAGATTTAGCCTAGTTTTATCTAGAATCTAGGTAGCCACCTATATTATGCAGAAACTTTTAGGAGTAGGGTCTTTTTAGAGCTATTCTTGCTTCGAAGTGGGGTCTTGGTGGGATAGGGATCTATGTGGTACATTCGCAATTGGCCTATAGTTGACAATGGAGGAAAACATTACAAGTAAAATACCTGATATAATTACAGGCGTAATTGATTTGATTGCATGCGGTTAAGGTAGTTGAAAACCTATAAAAAATCACCGAAAAATTAACTAACTTTGTCAAACGTAAAATTGTGCACTTTAGATTTCATTTATTCAAGCTTATTCAGCGAGGGAACATATATGCTTTTTATAAATTTTACTTTTTCATATTTTAATTCTTACTGGAATGTTTATTAAAAAATCTCTGTTGACTTTAATGAAATATGTACTATCATATTATTATGAATTTTCTGAAATCAAATATGCTTTTAAAAATAACGGTTTTAAAATTTGAGAAGTCTTCTTATAATAGGTACATAAATATATTGTTTGTATATTTGATATTTTGGTAATACTGCAAATGTTCAGCATGCCTACCTACTTATTATTATTACATGTAGCAGATTCTAAGTCCCAATATTTTTGGCCGCTATTTAACATATTTAGAACAGTGGTTGACTCAGCAACCCGAGTAGATCTTGGCCTTCAATATTAGACTTGTCCATTTCTCGTGGTTCTTGGCAGTTTTACTCCAATCACTTATCAGCTCAAAGCTCCAAAATAAAATATCTTCTAATGATACAGTATGTTATTTATTAATAGATTTTTAAAATAGACATCAACGTACCCATATGGATACAAAGTATTGTAATCCGCTTTGCTTCAGTAGATAGGTACCTTAGTACTGAACTTGGTAGATACTTACTAAAGTTTAAAGTTGATATTTCGTTATATCACAATTTTTTGCTATTGTCTAAGTAGGTGTAGGTAGAGTATTAATATCACGTTTTAACTCTAACCTACGTACAGTCAGCCATATTTGGTTCTTATGATAAGGAAATAAGATCCAAGTCTGTCCTTGATATGTCGACATGATTGTGTTTCGCCAATTTCAATTTACACGAATTTATTTGTCGCGAACAATTCCGGTATGGGCGCAGAAAGAATTACCGGTGCTTATTATTCAAATCGGAGAATGTGTGACCAAACTGTGGTAATTTCCTGCTAAAAAATTTGGGTAATTCGAGTTCGGACTGCGGTCTTAATAAAGAGTATCGTTAGTTGTCACCAAAATGCACTTATCAAAAGAAAAGGTATAACAAAAGTAGATATCACAGATGCCCACCATATGCCATAAATCTATGCAAATCAACGAGAAAAATATACATTAATTTTAAGTCTTTCCTGAACTTGCTAGCGAAATCTAATGAAAGATAGGTAATTAATGAAAGATGAGGAAAATGTTTTCTTTGATGCCTTATAATTTATTTTTATTATTATTTTTTTTTTAAAGGTGTAAATATTTTAGTTTTAAATTATTTTTTTTATATTTTACTAGCGACCCGCCCCGGCTTCGCACGGGTGCAATATGCATGTATTATACATACAAACCTTCCTTAAGAATCACTCTATCTATTAAAAAAAACCGCATCAAAATCCGTTGCGTAGTTTTAAAGATCTAAGCATACATACGGACATACAGCGAAAGCGACTTTGTTTTATACTATGTATTGAAGTTGTATATATTAATAGTCGCAAAGTAGTATTATAGGTATGCATATGAACCAATTACAAAATTACATAAATTTATGAAATGCTAGCCAAAAATACAGACATAGGTATAGTCTGTTTATGACTAGACATTTACAATGAACACATTGCGACAATTAAGTATATTATACTTATGTACTTTAATCTGACCTTTGTATGTAACGCGAAATAGATCATTCGATACTCGTTGCGATATATTATAGACGAGGACGGAGTAGCTTCGATCCAAGGCTGTACCCGCCCTGTGCTTCTGTAAGCACGGAACAAATGAAATTGAAAGGCTATCTCTGAGTCACAGCCGTCACAGGCGTAGGCTACTTACCTCAGTACTCAGTACTCGGTACTCTGGCTTACCTTGACAATGAAAGTGAATTGGACAATGTAGACGCGATCTATTCGTATAAAAACCGGAGCACCTCCTGTCAAAATTATTCAGTTGCCAACATTTGCAGAATAAACATGTACGCCAAGGTACTACAAGACATTCATTACCTTCGCAATTATTTTATCAATAAAACTTGTTAACTGAGAGCAGTGGTTCAGACTGTGCAACACAGGAAGCGATTTAATTTTAATCAAAAAGATTAACCAATAACATTTTAAAGACTTTATCATGAAAGCTCTTGTAAATTAGAATGGAAGTAAAATGTTTTGAGCTTTGCTAAGTTGAATTTTAAGTGTCTAATAAACTAATCTTTTTTTCCAGCTGATCGTCGCTCTTTGCGCCCTGGGTGTGGCCCGCGCCAGCGGTGTCTATGAAGCCGCTCCCCTGGCTTACAGCGCACACGCCTACGCCGCCCCTGCCGTAGTGACCAAGACCATCAGCCCCGCGGTGTCCTCTGTATCTGCCTACTCGACTCACACCGCTCACGGTGGAGAAATCTCGTACGCCGCTGCCCCCGTTGTCGCCAAGGCCTACGCTGCCCCCATCGTCGCCAAGACCTACGCTGCTCCTGCCGTTGCTGCGTACGCTGCACCCGTGTCTGCCTACGCCGCTGCCCCCGCTGCCGTCGTCACCAAGACCATCTCCCCCGCTGTGAGCTCCATCTCCTCCTACTCTACCAGCACCTCCCACGGCTCCCCCGTCGCCACTTACGCCGCTGCCCCCGTTGTGGCTAAGGCCGTCGCTCCCGTTGCCTACGCCGCTCCCGCTGTGGCTGCGTACGCTGCCCCTGCTGTGGTGACTAAGACCATCTCTCCCGCCGTCTCCTCCGTGTCCGCATACTCCACCCAAACCGCTCACGGTTCCGCGTACGCTCCCGCTGCGTACTCCGCCTACGCCGCTCCCGCTGTGGCTGCGTACTCCGCTTCTCTTGTCGCCAAGACCTACGGCGCTCCCCTTGTCGCCAAGACCTACGCTGCTCCCTTGGTAGCTAAGACTTACGCTGCTGCCCCCGTCGCCACTTACGCCCACGCCGCTCCCGTCCTCAAATCCGTAGCGTACTCCGCTGCCCCCGCCGTCTCCCACATCGAATACAGCGGTCATGGTGCTAACTACGGTTGGTAAACTGAATCAAAACGTTTATGTAAATAGACCAATTAAAATAAACGACTTGCCATAATTTATTTGTTGGTTTGATTAATTATCCTGAAGAAAGGATCAAATACAGATAAGTTAATTATGTCACCCATATATACCCAACAACATACCCAAGTAGGTGTCTACCGAATGGGGAAAATACATACGGACATTATAAAAATTAAAGGAACAGTCAACAGTAAAGTAGGTATAGCTTAAATAAATGTTCCCATTAACATTAAACACCAATGAAATGTGGGAGTTATCAATTAGGGCGCAATAATTCGCTTATTCATTGGAACCAGATAGCACACATAACTATGAATAATACCATACCTATTAAGTTATACGTATTAAGTAAGTCACTTTACGTAGTTCCTTGAGTCTTTGACCTTTAGACGTTACATTTATAAGAAACGGATACAATACACAGATAAAATATTTTAGTAGGCGCAAGTACAGTAATTATGTATTGTGTGTACATAGTTTTAAGTTAAACTCAATACTTGAATACTGAAAAGTTTATTCTAAACGGATTCTTATAAGAACACAGCGTGATGCTCGACAAAATTCCCGCCAGAATCGCGCGTTACCACTTTTTGCGCGGGAAACTTTACTAATCTGTCATATTTGTCATCTGTCAAATAATCGATCGATAATACAGATTAAAAATGCCATATGACATTAAGTCCGCCTTATGTACCTTACTTTGTGTGCATTAAAGTATTAATAAATAAATTAATAAAATTAAACTAATGAAGTTCATTTAGTTGATTTTCGTCGTTTAACAATAGGGAAACAGGTAACATAGCGAAAAGCATACATCGATAGGTACATATGCATGCGATGTACACTTAACCGACATCAACATCAACAGCCTATAAATGGCGACTGTTTTCCAAGGGTCTCGTCTCACTCGGAGAAGGTTGCTCAATGCGGGTTGACAATTTTAAACTTATAATTAGAAATTAGCTTAGGTTTCCTCACGATGTTTTCCTTCACCGTTTGTCAGTGGTGTCGAAATAATATTAGAAAGTACATATAACTCGGAAAACATATACACTAAAGTATAGGTATATAAAAATCATTACCAGACCCGGAAAAACGATTTGCTCGTCCGGGAAACAAACCCGTAACATGTTATGCAGTAACCAGCCGCCTACCTACTGCGCCAACCGTGCACATAAAGTAATGCTAATGTTATTATGTCAGACGCATTCGCAACATTTATTTTGCATTTTTTTGCAATATGATTTCTTATTTCTTACCTATTTAGTTAGTCTTGACCATCATTATAAACTACCAGTGACAATTGGACTATAGGCTTGCTCTAGCTATAAATACGAGAAGGCTTAAAAACTTTTTTTTATATAGGTTGTTTTGTGCATCGTGTGCCAAATTGAAATGGTCGACAGAAGGGGTCATCTACTAGCCCTTCAGGCACTTTAACACCCCTCATGCCCTGTAAATTTTTTTATCGACGTTTTATTGTTTTAATAAAAAAAACCCAAATTTTATATTCAACTGTGAATTTAGAGGTTGTAGAATTTGTAGGTTTATTATGGTTTATTATAGTCTTGCGTATGAATAGGTTTTTTTTAAGGGATGGAAATCATCGAATGACTTCTCCCGCCTAGGTGAGGCGGGAGGGAGTGTCAGACTTTTACTGACTAAAAACCACCCCGTTCCTTCTCCTGCACTACGACATAGAGTTAACGCTCTACTAAGCCTAGTTACTTCCTAGCATCATCTACGTTGTAAGTAGACGAAGGTGTTTTTTTTGTTTAACGGGGGAAAATCATCGAATGACTTCTCCCGCCTAGGTAAGACGGGAGGGAGTGTCAGACTCTTACTGACTAAAAACCACCCCGTTGCTACACCTGCACTTCGAGCCGGAGCCCCGGTAACTCGTTAGGTTCTCCGCAGCTCCGTATCGGCATCAGCCCTATTGGGCCCCATCCGTAACGTATGAATAGGTTAGGTCTTGCAGTGGTGATAATGGCATAATCATAAGGATAAAAACTTTTTAAATGTTCTTCTGGTTGGGTTTGTTCGTTGTATCAGTCAGCCTCACCTGTTAATTGAGGTTAGTTAATTGATTGATTGTAAAACGACAAATGCGTGCTGCCGACATAACGCGTCCTCTCTAACTGTTGTGGTTCTTTCCTCAAAAGGCTACTACAGAACGAACTTGGCCGGTTCTCACACATAATCTTTTATACATATTTGTCTTGACTTTAAAAAAGACGGGCCTCTGAGTTTGTTTCGGCATTTCTTCTCAGAGTATCAATTAGGAAATGTCGGCCTCATCGTTCGCTTACTAAAATTGGCGTGTAAAAGTGCTGCCTTGTAGCCTATTTGGAGAAATAAATCACTTGATTGTTTCAGTTATAAAGAAGCTGGGTCTCTGTTGATAGTTATGTATTGATGATAATAAGCACATTTTATATGAACTGTAGACAAGTAGGTACGTGGTCACTTACTACAGGTCTGTAGTAGCATCGGTACTTGCTCCCTTGAGGAACAAAATGATATTATTTATTAACATATATCCTTGACTGCCTCGTTGGCCCAGTGGTCGCAAGTGCGACTGCCTGTCAAGGGGTCTCGGGTTCGATTCCCGGGTCGGGCTAAGTACTACTGGGTTTTTATAAATTCTCAGTAGTAGCACGAAGTCTGGAATTGTGTCCGATATATGGCAATAGGCTCACCCCCTATTACATGGGACTCATAACATAAATAGTGAAAAGTGGGTGTTACTTCTATGTGCATCTCTGCCTACCCCTTCGGGGATAAGAGGCGTGATGTTATGTTATGTTATGTTACATATCCTTGACTTAGCTACATTAACCTTTTCGTATTAAGTTACTGTGACCGTTACTGCTTAAAAATATGTGAACTTTGTTTTCAAAATGGCCGTGCAATAAAGGGCAGAAATTGCTTAAGTGAAGATAAAGAACGAATAATTTAGCAGGAACAGATTGAAGTGAAGGTTTTCTTTTGTGTATGAAATTACATAAGTACCTACGTCAGAATCAGAACAAAATTTCATTTAATAGGTACTGTTATTAATGTCCCATCAATTTCCTTTTGTTGTATTGATTTTTATACTTTACTAGCGACCCGTCCCGGCTTCGCACGGGTGCAATTAGAAACTTCAAAATTTATCAGTGTTTCTCTACTATATTATGCATGTATTATACATATAAACCTTCCTGAAGAATGACTCTATCTACTAAAAAAATCGCATCAAAATCTGTTGCGTAGTTTTAAAGATCTAAGCATAGGGACAGATAGACGGCGGATAGGACTTTGTTTTATACTATGTAGTGATTTAAGGGCAATACCTACCATTAATGCGCATTTTTTTAAAAATAAAACATTGCACCACATTAGGATTTTCTAATGTGTCATGGGTGCGTTTACAAACATACAAGTTCACATACACAATGACACCCAGACCCGAAACAACAATTTGGGGATCACACAAAGTGTTGTTCGGTGCGGGAATCGAACCCGCGACACATTGCACGGCAGCCGGTTGCCCACCAACCGTGCAGTCAGGCAAATATTTGCGCATATACTATGTTTGATCAATTGATAATCGATTTGAATATTATTTGGCGTAGTATCTTCGCCTTAAATAAATTATTGTTGTTTTTATTTTCAATCAGATTATTTCGTTGGTCAAGTGTCGCAAACGCGATTGACGAACAAGAAACTTTGGATTCGATTTGTGGATCAGAGTATTTTCAGTTTTACAAAAATCTCTGTAAAAGCTTGAAATTATCTCCGGTGTATGACAATATTTCCACCCCCTATTACATGGGATATATTACATTACTGATGATGATGCAAACGGTACTTATATTGTAATAATTTGTCCTATTGTAAATATTATAACATCACTCCTTTTATCCCCGAAGGAGAGGAGGCAAAGGTACACATTACATTTACTTAATGCCAGTGTACAATGTAACACTTACTGTTAACTATTTGTGTTATGAGTCCCATGTAATAAAAGGTGAGCCTATTGCCATATACCGGGCATCATATTGTAAAATATGCTGATAAATATCATAGCTGCCGAAATTTCGGTTTACTGTCAATATACAGTATATTTTGTGCAATAAGAGAGTAACGTTAAGTTATCCATATTTATAGACATTTAGTTAAACTAATTTCTTAATTATTAAGTCAAAGACGTCAGAATATGAAACGGTTCTAACTTACGTAAACTGCCGACCTCTAATTTATATACACAGCTTATGTAATACTTCATGTATACATATATAATACCCATAACATTATGAGTGCATCTGTTTTACATTATTTTATGGGATAATGTAACAAAATATTTGTGTTTTGAGCTCATGTTTAGCATTATAAAAATACTGTTAATCTTTTAGTTTTAATAATCTCTCAATGGGTCATAGTAATCAACGTATTGAATAAGTTCAATATAACGTCGATGCCTATAGTACCTTTAGAAGTCTCATGTGTTATGAGTGTGTGTAGGTTAAAAAAATAAAATATTAGACCAAAATTCGTTGAAAACAAATTGTGGTCAACACAAGAAAACACAAGACGCAAAGGTCGATACACCATTTGCTATGCTGTCCTGGTGGCTATTACCATAAGAATTGTACGGATAAACCGGGCCAATCTACATAAATGCACTATTTATGAAAACGCCATTAAAAGCACACGACATATTGACATTTAAGTATATAATTTAAAAAAATCCATAATTATCTTTGCAGACAACAGATTAAAACCGGAACTTCAAGTTTGGCAGTGGCATTCTGACCCATACCCATTAGACCGAGACGTGCTAATCTATTTATACGTTTGCTATTATTATGCTATTAGGTAATCAAAATATTATGCTACCAGACAATCAAATCAAAGACAGAATAAAGTTCAATAAATACACAATTACTTAACCTGTGTGACATACAAATGCTTTTCCCCTGAAGACACATGTATAATAATATAATGTATATAGGTTATGGGCAAAGATTGAAGCCAAAAAATCTCTACATTT